CACCTTCTGTTCTAGGCATTGTTATTGTGAAAGGACTGAGTGATTAGTTTTGGGAAGAGGTGGTAAGGCAAAGAAAGGGACTTTATTCCTCTTATCTTTTGAATAATATCTTTTTAAAAATGTTTAAAAATATGCTCGTCTTCTTGCTTCAAAAAAAAAAAAAAAAATAAAAATGTTTAAATTTATTCTTCTTTTATTTAGAGATGTGGTCTTTCTCTGTCGCCCAGGCTGGAGTGTGATGGTGCAATCATAGCTCACTGCAGCCTCTACTCTTAGGCTCTAGTGATCCTCCTATCTCAGCCTCTCGAGTAGCTAGGAATACAGGCCACAATGACTTGCTAATTTTAAATTTTTTATAGAGACAAGGTCTTGCTATGTTGCCCAGGCAGGTCTTGAACTCCTGGCCTCAAGGGATCTTTCCACCTCAGCCTTCCAAAGTGCTGGATTATAGGTATGAGCCCTAAGCCCAGCCCTGAGATTTGAGAATTACCCAAGAATGCTCTGATGGAGCTATTTCCATCCACAAGTGCTAAAATAGAAATGGAAAGATTTAGAAGCAAAATCAAATCTCACTCATTTGGATTTTGTACAGACATCCCCCCGTTCATGGCGTATATGTGTGTGTATTTATAACTATATATATATTATATTTTGATATATATTTCTATATATAGTATATGTAAATTTGAATTTCTAAAATAATACCACAGTTTTAATTGCCATACTTTTATCATATGCTTTAGTAACTTACAGACCATTTACCCTTCCTTCTTTTTTGCTCTTATAATTTCCTGGCTATTTTTACATGCTTTATTTTGCAGATCACCTTAGAATCATTTTGTTAGTTTCTTTTTCCTCCAAATTCAATTGAGATTTTGATGACTCATATAAATATATCCAATAATTTGAAGAAAGTAATCCTTATACTGTCAAGCCTTCATCTATATGTATCTGTGTGCAGAAGCAAATGACTGACTCATCATTGTCAATGTTTTCACCATCAGGAAATATCCCGACTGTCTCCATCCTGTGCAATCCAGGCATGAGAGCTCGGCACTGGAAACAGATGTCGGAGATTGTGGGCTATGACTTGACTCCAGACTCTGGAACTACACTGAGAAAAGTTTTTAAAATTAAACCTTACACCATACTTGGAACAATTTGAAGTGATAAGTGCAGGTGCAAGTAAGGTAAACATAAAGATCATCTCAATACTTTATTGGATGGTTTGTTATCAAGTAACCATTGTTTCTGTTGTGGTTGAATGTGTGTAGTATTGGGTAGCAGTGGGAGGAGATGGGAGAAATTGATAGCAGACCACTCTTTCTTCCCACAAAGTTGTGCTTATTTGTCCTGAATCTAGACTAGAATAATCCCTTGACCTTTTCTAATTCTTCCATATTCTAATATAGTTGGATGATATGCTAGTATTAATACATAATTTTCCATTAAGAATATTGGGTGGATATATGTATGACATGTGATGTGTGGGTTTTGTAGCAAAATAAGTATGGCCCTAGAGGAAGGATTCTGAAATATGTAGATTACAGGCTGCCTTCAGAAAGGCCACTTCAAAGAAAGTCTAGAAAGTCTAGGAGGCATTTTATTATAGTGTCTCTTTTTTTTTTTTTTTTTTTTTGAGACAGAGTCTCGCTTTGTTGCCCAGGCTAGAGTGAGTGCCGTGGCGTCAGCCTAGCTCACAGCAACCTCAAACTCCTGGCTCGAGTGATCCTTCTGCCTCAGCCTCGAGTAGCTGGACTACAGGCATGCGCCACCATGCCCGGCTAATTTTTTATATATATATCAGTTGCCAATTATTCTTTCTATTTATAGTAGAGACGGGGTCTCGCTCTTGCTCAGGCTGGTTTGAACTCCTGACCTTGAGCAATCCGCCCCCTCGGCCTCCCAAGAGCTAGGATTACAGGCGTGAGCCACAGCGCCCGGCCTAGTGTCTTTTTTATTTGTTTGAGACAGCATCTTGCTCTGTGGCCTGGGGCCAGAGTACAGTGGCATCATCATAGCTCACTGCACCTCAAACTCTTAGGCTCAAGCAATTCCATGCCTCAGCTTCCTGAGTAGCTGGGACTATAGGCATGTGCTACTACACGGGCTAGTTTTTCTACTTTTTGTAGAGATGAGATCTTGCTCTTGCCCACGCTGGTTTTGAACTCCTGGCCTCAAGCGGTCCTCCTGCCTCGGCCTCCCAGGGTGCTAGGATTACAGGCGTGAGCCACCACATCTGGTCCTCGATGTCCATTTTAATACTAATAGCAGTGATTTCATAGCAAGTGAATTTTTTAAAACTATGTAACCATTCTTATTAGGAATTTTTACATTGTTCAAAGAAACCTTTCCAATTTAAAAAAATTATACTGTAGTCACAGATTATCCTAAGGAAATGGTAATGTAATATATCACATGCTTACTGAATGAATTTACTAGGGAAAGTCATATAATACCCAAGATCCTTCACTATCCCAATCACTCTCTCTCTCTTTTTTGTAATTTGAAAAAGACATATAAATTTATTCACATGTTACATGGGGAACCACAGAGTGATTGCCTCTATCCCATTCTTTCTTCATTCCTCCCTTTCAGGAATTTTCATTAGAGAAAGCCATGCGTACAATGATAGGAACTTGGGATGATATTGCTTTTCATATAAGTCTGTATCGTGATACTGGAGTCTGTATTCTTTCTTCAGTGGATGAGATTCAGGCTATCCTTGATGATCAAATATAAAACTCAGACAATAGGAGGTTCACCTTTCATCAAACCATTTGAAAAAGAGATCAAGGTATGTTAATATTATAGTCAGCTCCTGGTCAGGTATAAAAATTGGAATCTTATTCCATATATGTTTTCATGGAATAAGTGAATGTGTTGGATGGCTTTTTATTAGAAATATTTTAACAAATCATAAACCTATAACCTTCATATTTTATCTGATGAAAATAAGAACAGATACTCAAAAATTACTATAGAAATATATATAGAAGAACTGACATACTAACTAATGATTTTGAAAAAAATTATGCTTTATTAAAATCTTCTCCAATGACAGTGATAGACTTGAAAGGAAAAGAGTTGGCATTATTTATTCAACTTTATAAGGCCTAGATTGTTTTTTGTTTTTTCTTTTCTTTTTTTGAGACAGGTCTTGCTCTGTTGTTCTGGGTAGAGTGCAGTGGCGTTATCATAGCTCACTGCAGCCTCAAACTGTGGGCTCAGCAGTCTCCTGCCTCAGCCTTCTGAGTAGCTGGGACTACAGGTGCACCCCACCAGGCTGGCTAATTTTTAAATTTTTATTTTTTAGTTTTTGTGAAGACGAGGTCTTGCTCTTGCTCAGGCTGGTCTTGAACTCCTGACCTCAAGCGATCCTCTTTCTTTAAAAACTTTTTTAAAAATGTAGAACAGTACATGTATCTAAATTGCATAAAACATAAATTATAAAATTTCAAATATTATAAACAAGCAGTAATTACCACCCAGGGAAAGAAATGGAACCTTGCCAATACCCTAGAAGCTCATCATAGTCCCCTGTCTTTTTCTGGATGTTAGCACTATCTTGACTTTTATGGTAATTACTTCTTTGCTCTTCTTTATAGTTGTATAATCTAAATATGCCTTTCTAATCAATATAGTTAATTTTTATCTGATTTTGATCTTTATATAAAGGGAGTCATATGGTTTATATATATATTTTGCATCTTGTCAGCATTATGTTAGGAATGTCACTGTTCTTTTTTTTTAATTTTTTTTTTTTTTGAGACAGAGTCTCACTTTATTGCCCAGGCTAGAATGCCATGGTGTCAGCCTAGCTCACAGCAACCTCAAACTCATGGGCTCAAGCGATCCTGCTGCCTCAGCGCTGGTTTCTGAACTCCTGACCTTGAGCCATCTGCCTGCCTCGGCCTCCCTGAGTGCTAGGATTACAGGCAAGAGCCACCGCGCCCGGCCTTAATTTACATTTTAAATAGTTTTTTCATTGTGAAATATGGTATACATATTGAAAAAGTATAAAACATATAGTTAAACAAATAGCTATAACGTGAACACGTATGTTGCTACCACCCAAGTCAAGTAATAGGTTATTGCCAGCACCCCAGAAAGCCTCTGCATATAACTTTCTGATCACAGTTCCTTGTCTCCTTCCCCCCTCCCTTCTCTAGAGATTTCCACTTGATTTTCACAGTACTTGTATCTTTTATTTTCTTTAGTTTCACTAACTGTGTGTGTATCCTTAAATAATATAGTTTTTAAAAAATATTTTTTCAAGGGGTAGGTATTAGGGAAAAAATTTAAAAATATATATTTTCTTTTATAGTGTCTTCATTTAATAGACAGGCCGGGCGGCTGGCTCACCCTGTAATCCTAGCTCTCTGGGAGGCGAGGCGGCGGATTGCTCAGGTCAGGAGTTCGAAACCAGCCTGAACAAGAGCAGACCCGTCTCTACTATAAATAGAAAGAAATTAATTGGCAACTAATATATATATAAAAAAAAAAAAATTAGCCGGGCATGGTGGCGCATGCCTGTAGTCCAGCTACTTGGGAGGCTGAGGCAGAAGGATTGTTGTGAGCCAGGAGTTTGAGGTTGCTTGAGCTAGGCTGACGCACGGCACTCACTCTAACCTAGGCAACAAAGCGAGACTCTGTCTCAAAAAAAAAAAAAAAAAAAAAAAATGTAAGACCAGAGGATGGGTTTTATAATTTATATATGAGGCAACAGAAAGTTGAGAAGTTATCTATAGTATTAAATGTCATTAAATATGCTTATACCTTAAAAACTTTAATCTGCTCCATTACTGTAGCGCACATAGTAATAGTAGGGTTCTCTTTTGGTTCTTCTTCAGGTTTCTCTTCTTCCAAAGATCGTTTTCTTGCTGCCTTTCTTTTCTTGTAATTCTTTCTTTTGCTTTGTTTGGAAAATTTCAGTGTCTTAAAATTTCTCGAGAAAATTCTTCTACATCAGCTTCCATCTTTCCCATTGAGGTCAAAAACCTCCATCCATCCACCTGAAGTGAAAGAAAAAATATTATTAAACTCAACTTTTAGAGTTTGAAGGGGCCTTAGTTAGAGCTCCTTCAGGCCAGACCCCTCATCTTTATAAGAGAGACAGATGAGGCAAGACTGCCACAGTTTTCCTCAGTCACACACAGGTAGAGCTGATGGTTGAAAGGACTAAGATCATTTAGCTATGCTACATGTGCTAAAATATGTATCATATTATAAATGATTGACTACAGTATCCAAATAAAAGGCAAATTGACCCCACACTTCTAATTTTTGGTGTAAATATTACTAAATAAATTAATTGCATAAAAAAGTGAATTGACTCCAGAAATCCAAATGACAATTCAAATATAATATATATATATATTTTCATGTCAAATGGTAACATGCCAACATCGTACCAAGGTTTGAGGCTCGCATATCTCACGTGTGAGCATGAAAACCCAATCTCACACTTATGAACACAAAAGGATCTCAGCTATTGTATCAATGAGATTAGTGGTGCCTTAGCAGCTTTGGAGGCTTCTCCTATATATTGGTTCTTTCTAAAATGGACAGATAAAGAAAAAAAAAAAGAAAAAAATAAAATGGACAGATATATCCTACTTTTAAAGCTTAACCAGAAAGAAAATCAATTTGAATTTTAAATTCTTTTATATCATTTGCTTAATTTTATTATACCACCAGAAATTACCGTTTTTCTGATCGTTGCCACTTCAAAACAAAATTAAAAAACTTCTGATAGGGCTCAATATTAACTTTTAATTTATCCAGTTCAGGATATTTTGTCAATTCCCATTTGAAAAGTTCTTCTTCCTTATTAATAAACTGAACTGCTTCTTCAGATTCCTGAATGCGTTTTTGTAGTTGTCTTACATCTGTCACATACTGAAAAGAAATAATTTTTTATCTCAAAAATATCTAAGTAAGGTTCTAAAAATAAGATCATATGAATAATACATAGGATATGTCATTGCATTTATACAGCAACTTTTGATTGATTTATTTATTTATTGAGAACAGTCTCACTCTGTTGCCCAGGCTAGAGTACCATGGCATCAGCTTAGCTCACAGCAACCTCAAACTCTTGGGCTCAAGTGATCCTTCTGCCTCAACCTCCAAAGTAGCTGGGGCTACAGGCATGTGCCACCATGCCCGGCTAATTTTTTCTATTTTGGTAGAGACGGGGCTCGCTCTTGCTCAGGTTGGTCTCGAACTCCTGAGCTCAAACGATCCGCCCACCTAGCCTCCCAGAGTGCTAGGATTAAAGGCATGAGCCACCACGCCTGACCTATACAGCAACTTTAAACATTAATTCACAACGATACTATGATAGAGAGCAAAAGGTATGGTGATATCTACTCCACAGGTAGAAAATGAGTCACAAAAAAGATAACATAGATAGCATCCTATTCCAGGCCAAAAGTTAGGTCTTTGTTTGCCATAGTATGCATGTTTTTCTATGTTTTTAAATTTAGTTAATGTGTCCTGTATTATTCCATGTGCTGGCCATAACTATTGCCCTTATGTTATCAGACCTGTTGCATGCGTTCCAGCTCTGCAATTCTGTGAATCCTTCCATGTGGCGTGATCCTTTTCTATTTCCAAAATCAGTTTCTCTCTTGCTATTAGTTCATTTTCTTTTTTACGTTTAGCATTCTCAATAAGCTTTTTAAAAGACAATTTAATATGTTAGTTATTTTATTACAAAGAAAGAGTTACCAAGTCAGAAATCTAAATGTTTTGTATTGTAATAAAAAACATCAGAGAAGTAAAGGAGTACAAAAATAAAATGTCATCTATAATGGCTGATATAAAAATGCAAAGAATAAGAAACTTACACAGAAAATTTCCCTAGATCTCCAAAGTGACTTTCATAACTCTTATTTATCAATTAGATGCTTTAATAATTTAACAGATTCTGGATAATAATAAAAACTACCATATACTTGAGCACGTGCTATGTATTAAGAACTATTAAACACTTCCCTACATTACCACGGCATTCTTACTATTATTATCCTCATTTCAGAGATGAAGAAATTGAGTCTTATGGAAGTCAAGAAGCATGTCCAAGTTCGTAAAAGCATAAAAGTCAAAATCTGGTTTGTCTGATTGAAGCCATGCTTTTCATTACTGTAACATCTTACCCCCCAATTTAGGTAAATCAGTTTACATCAGCACTTCTTCAAAGTCTGAAATATACTCATTCTGAATCTCTACCTTGTATCTCTTGTGATACTGAACAAGCTACATAACTTCCCTGAGTCTCATTTTTTAAATCTATAAACAGGGGAAATGGGAGTACTTGTCATTTTTATGAGTATTAAAATGATTAATAAATGGAAAGTACTTAGTTCAGTGCTTAGGATTATAAATTTATATAATAGTTCTAACTTTTAATATCAGCCCCACTATCACCAGACCTTGTGAGTTAAGCCTAATAGCTTGTACTAAACCTACAGGGCTATAAATGTTGCCAGCCTCAAACTCACATTGTCACACACAGTTATGTTTAAAGGTAGATGGCAAGTAGGCATGAAATTAAATGTGAACACTGTGCTTAAAATATCAGAATATAAAATATATACTGAAAATATATTTACTCATCATTTGCATCAAAGATTGGATTAATTTTCCTAGGCCACATGAGGACAGTTGCATTTAAAGCTAAGTCTTCTGGAGGAAATAGAAAAACATCTAAAAAATAACTCATTTGACGTTTGGATTCCTACAAAGAAATCCAGATATAACACATCATATAGAAACTAAGGCATTATGAAACAGAGAAGCATCGACAACAATCTCTAATACTCTTTCAAATGTCAATTTGACTCAGATATTAATTGATATTTTATATATTACCAAATCACATGGGTATTTCAATAGCTGTAGTACTACTGATTTAGTTTCATGCCACACAATTGCATAGTTTTATACTGGAAATAAAGTTTTTAAAAGTTTTCACTTGCAGTTGACTTAACATAAAGGTAGTCTTGGTCTTTCTTGTATATGACTGAAAAAGTGATTAAATGTTCAATGATCCTTTAAACTTTGATTTTAAAGGATTTCAATTCTTTTATTCTTATGATTTTTTATTTGGAACTTTGATGACAAAGTTTTAGTATCTTTTGTTTTTTTTGAATCTTCAGTGATATCATCATCTTTTATTGCCTACTTAGCATACAGCAATAGTCAAGAAAGAGTTTGGTATGAGTGGAAAGGAAAAACTTTTAAACAATGGATTATCTAGTAGAAAAGTTTAATATTTTTACCCCTATAGGTTTTCATTGTCCATATGCTTTTTAAGAACTGAAATACAAATTCAAGTCTAATTTAAGGGTTTTTATTTACATTTTATATATGTATTTTTTATATATTCTATATATTATATACATATATGCAATACATATAGAAAATAAACTTAAAAATTGATCCATGTAATTCATTATATTAATAGATTAAAGAGAAAAAGCAATTGCATCAATAGATGCAAAAAATATATATTTAATAAAATTCAACATCCACTTGTGATAAGTTTCTCTAAAACCTGGTAGTACATCAGCAATAGAAGGGAACTCATTAATATGGTAAAGGTACCTATAAAAAACCTCCAAGAAATGTCATATATAATAGTGAAATCTTGAAAGCTTTCCTTTTATATACATAATTTAAAAGCTTCCTTTCAAGATTGGATAAAGAGAAGTCTGCCATCACCCACTGCTAATAAACATTGTACTAGAGGTCCTAGCCAGTTCATTGTACAAAGAAAATAAACAATTTTGTAAATGTGTAAAGTTTGACGAGGACAAAACAAACTATAATTATTTGCAAGTTATATAATGGTACATGTTGATATTCCAAAAAATCTTCAGATAAACTGTTAAAATTAAGAAGGGAAATTAAAAACATATAAAATATTTTAAGTTAAAATTTTAAAATAGAAAATTTAAAGTAAGAAAATTGAGAGTGATGGATATTAATTAATATATAAAATGAATTTTATATTATACCAAAGTATAAAGTAAATATCCATAATCCATACTGATATAAATAAATGAATAAACTAATATGGGAGAAAAGAGACAAATCTCAATGCAGAAGAATTCCAAATAAATTATGTAAGATTCTCCATTGTAAAGGAAGGGAACATAACTTCTCATTCTTTTTTTTTTTATATAAATTGTTTAGTTGTCCATATAATTTCTTTCTATTTTTAGTAGAGACGGGGTCTCGCTCTTACTCAACGTCTCAAACTCCTGAGCTCAACACATTCACCACCTCTACCTCCGGAAGTGCTAGGATTACAGGTTGAGCCACCGCACCAGCCACTTCTCACTTCTTAATCAGGGGATTGCATATAGGATTTCCTCCAAATTATAGAAATGGAAGGGGGAGAAAAAAAATGGAAAGACTGACAAATACTACTTTCAGCCAGGTGATCAAGACAACATCAACAGTGATAAGTCATTTTGAGTGTATTACTTTGATGTGATGTAATAAAATGGAACTTTACCTCTGTGATTACTGTCCCCCAAACCCATACCCTAGTCTAATCATGAGGAACAATTCAACAAATTCCCATAGACAGCACCTTCCATATCCCTGGACTGGCACTCCTCAAAACTCTCAAGGTCATCAAGACAAGGAGGAATCTAAGCCCAGGCACTGTGGTTCATGCCTATAACCCTAGCACTTTGAGAAGGCAAGGCAGAGAATTGCTTGAGGCCAGAAGTTTGAGACCAGCCTGAACAACATAGTGAGACCTCATCTCTAAAGAAAAACATAAAATTAACCAGGCATGGAGATGCAAACCTGTATTCCAGCTACTTGGGAGGCTGAGGCAGAAAAATCACTTTGCCTGTAGTTTGAGGTTGCAGTGAGCTAGGCTGACCACCACTGCACTTTACTCTGAGCAACAGATGAGACTTTGTCTCAAAAAAAAAAGAAAAAAAAAAAAAAAGGAAAAAGAAAACACAATGAGATTCCATCTTATCCCTGTCAGAATGGCAGTATTAAAAGTCAAAAAAACAATAGATGTTGGTGCAGATGCAGTAAAAAGGAAATCCTGTTCACTGTTGGTGAGCATGTAAATTGTACAACCTCTATGAAGACACAAGTATGAGATTCCTCAAAGAAACTAAGAGTAGACCTACCATTCGATCCAGCAATCAATCCCACTACTAGGGATCTACCAAAGAAAAAGAAATCTTCATATCAAAAGACACATGCACTACACATTTATCACAGCAACCATTCAAATTGCAAAGATATGGAATCAACCTAAGTGCACATCAACTGATGAGAGAAAAAAAAATTTATGCCATGAAATACTACTCAGCCATAAAAAAATGAAGTAATGTCTTTGCAATAACTTAGATGGAACTGGAAATCATTATCCTAAGTGGAATTATCTCAAAAATAGGAAAACAAATATCACAATGTACTCCCTATAAGTGGAGTTGAATGATGGTATACATGGTCATAAAAGTGCTATAATGGACTTTGGAAACTCAGATGGAAGGCGGTGTAGGTGAAGACCAAATTCCTAATCATGTACAATGCATCCTATTCAGGTAAAGTACACTAAACTTTTGACTTCACCACTATTTGATACATAATACAATTCATCCATGTATCAAAAACCCATTGGTACCCCTAAATCTATTGAAATTTTTTAAAAATTTATCCAATTTTTAAAAAATGGTTGAAAATAGTAAATTTTATGTTATGTTTTATTTACCACAACTTTTTCAACTACCCAAATCAATAAGAAAAATACATGTCCAAAAAGAAATGGCCAAAAGACATAATTACATTTCACAAAAAGAAACTTTCATACCAGTAGCATATGAAAAGTGTTCAAATTCATTTGTTTTTAGGAAAATGCAAATTGAAATAATGACAATAACCTTCACACCAACAGAATGGCAAAAATTTGAATTTCTCAAAAATAGCAAGTATAGGAAAGGATGAAAAAGTAATAGGAACTCTTGTACACTGCAATAGAGCATGAAATTGGAATTATTGGGAAGAGAATTTTGCTTCCTTATTAAAGGTGAAGGACAGCATATCCATAACACCCTAGAGAAATGAATGAATGTATGCACCAGGATACATGTACAGAAATGTTTTCTAGAAGCACTGCTAATAACAGCGAAAGTAGAAACAACCAAAAATCAGAACAGTAACTTTAAAAAATATATCATATAGTGATACAATGTGGAATGGATACTAGATAGCAATCTAGTTCCTAAACTTCCTAAAGTTAAAGAACAGTGACAAGAATATCTTAATAAGCTCCACCAGGACAAAAAAGGAGATAGCAACACCTGATCAAAGAGAATACAAGATATAATTAATGAGTACTACAAAAATCTTTATTCACACAACTGTGGAGAAATGGAAAAAATTTCTAGACACACAGCCTCCCTAGGGTTCAACCAGAAGAAACAGATTAACAGACCAATTCAACGGCTATGAACAGCAATTAAAATCTCCTAAAGAAAGTCAGGTCCGAGGTTTTCACACCCGAATTTTACACACTTACAAGAAGAACTATAC